GCTTGCTGCTTGAGGATGTGGGACCACATGAAGGGCCTCTGCTTCTCCTTGTTTGCTTCACGGACTCCTACAGCAACAGGCTTCCCTACCACAGGGGAGAGGAGTCATGGCCACAGAATCCTAACCTAGTGACCCATAGGAAAGAGCTGTTTTGTCCTACTGGTCATCTCAAATCCTGTGGGAGGTCCTTATTGGCCCAGCTCAGGTCATGTGACCACGAAAGGGTGGGATCTTATGATTTGGAACCACATGATGGAGAGGAGGGATAGTTCTTTAAAGAAAAGAACTTAGGTTCCTTAAAGAAGGATGTGGGTCTGTTTCTAAGAGTTGGGGAGGGACACTGGGCAGAAAAAGAGCCCCAGAGATCTATTGCCTCGGGTCTGATGGTTGATGGGAGTGGGGAGGGACCAGCACTGGAGAGGGACTTTCATAAGGTGCTAGTGAAATGTCCACATGTCTGCCTGGGCCTGGGGAGGGGAGTAGTTAGCTCTGATGGTGATTAAATAGGACATTCATGAGTCCTTCTTGCCAACTTCAGGTGGAGGGGAAAGGGTCCAGAGGACCCCTCTAGAGACTGACCGGGGCTGGAAGGCTGTGTCTCTGTCTCCTCATCCTTGGTTGGGCTTCATGGCCCTTTTCTGGGAAAGGCTTTTTTATCAAGACCATTGTCTGCCCCAGTTAGGGGCCGGGGCAGCTGCCCCTACTTGGCTGGTGTCCTTTGCTCACAGGAGGTTCATAGGAGCCCTATACCTGTGTCCCAGTCATACCATATGATGAGAAGAGCCTGGGCTGGTAGTCAGGAGCCCTGGGTTCTGAGGCCTGCTCTGAAATGCCATGCTGAGTGACCTGGGCACGTCTTAGCTCTTCTCTGGGCATCTGTAAATGATGATGATGGTAATGCCTGCCTCACAGGGTTTCTGTGAGGAAAAATGAGATGGGGCATGAAGCAGTGAGAGTAATGTCTGGCACAGAGAAAGTTCTCCATGCGTAGTAGCTGCCGTTAGTAATTTTTGGCCAAACTTTGCCTGAGGCCAACCACCACAGAGACTGCTGTGCTCTCAAGTATTTTCAGTGAAGAATGAACTGTGGATCTTGCCTTGTGGGTCCACCTGAGTGGTGCCCTGCCCCTGCAGCACCCCACTCCCCACTGTAGGCATTGTGGGTGGGAGTCTGGTCACTGTGGGTTGATGCCCAGTCCTTGGGGCCCAAGCAGAAAGGAGTGGGAAAGGAAATAATTATATCCAGATACTTAAATCTGGGGGACTGTACTTGGCCTCCGTCTGACTTAATCCATACTATTGTGAGCCCCATTTACAGATGAGGAAACTGAGGCTCAGAGAGGTAAAGTGGTTTGCCCAAAGTCATACAGCTGGCAAGTACAGAGCCAGGATTTGAACGCAGATCTATATGGGTCCAAGTTGTGTTCTTCCCACCACTGAGTCCTCAGAGGGGCTGGAGGTGGCTGGGGATGGGAATTAGGAAGGAGATAGTATTGGCTCTGCTCCAGGTAGTTCCCTGGAGCAGGTGCCAGTGGGGAGGGCAGTTCTTGATGTGCTACTCACCCTCCAGTGTATGCCTGGAAGGGTGAAACCGATGAGGAGTACGTGTGGTGCATTGAGCAGACGCTGTACTTCACGGATGGCCCCCTCAACATGATTCTGGACGATGGCGGTGACCTCACCAACCTTGTCCACACCAAGTACCCGCAGCTCCTGTCGGGTGAGTAGGGCAGGTGGTGGGCTGAGTGCTGGCAGTTTAGAAACAGATGGGGAGTACCTGCTTGCCCATGTAAAAGCAGCAGGTCTGGCAGGACTCCCAGTGCCTCGAGCAGCAGATTCTATGGAAGATGGGAGGACAGCAGGCTCCTGTAGGCGTGCTGGGGCGTGGCTTCCTGACTTCTGATGGTGTGGGGGTTGGGTGGCTGGGGAAGCCCTGGCTGAGATGATGGTCCAAGGGCAAGCATAAGACCAGGGCTGGAAACCTCTGGGAAAGGAGTCAGCTTTGTTAAAAGCAGGGCAGAGAAGAAAGTGCGGGGAAGGGAGGCAGTGGGTACACAGTCCTGAGGCAGGAAAGGGCTGACTATTGAGGAAACAGAAAGGAAGCCAGGTTGTTGCTGGGGTTTAGTGAAGACTTAATAGGCCAAGAGAAACGAATTTCGCTTGATCCTGAGAAGAAAGGGAGGTAATTGGAGGGTTTTGAAAAGATTTCTCTCAAATATACATGTTAAAAATGGCTGCTGTTGGTTCAACCTCCACAAATCAATCAATGAGATACACCACATTAACAAAATGAGGAATAAAAATCACATGATCATTTCAATAGATGCTGAGAAAGCATTTGATAAGATCCAACATCCATTTATGACATAAACTCTCAATAAAATGGATATAGAAGGAAAGTATTTCAACATAATAAAGGCCATATATTATACCCCACAGCCAACATCATACTAAACATGGGAAAAACTGAAAGCCATCCTTTTGAGAACAGGAACAAGACAGGGGTGCCCATCTCACCACTCTTATTCAACATAGTTCTGGAGGTTTTAGCCAGAGCAATTAGGCAAGAAAAAGGAGTAAAAGGAATCCAAATAGGCAATGAAGAAGTGAAACTCTCACTATTTGCAGACAACATGAGTCTACATATAGAAAATCCTAAAGAATCCACCGGAAAACTATTAGAAATAATCAACAACAACAGCAAAGTTGCAAGGTACAAAATCAGCTTACAAAAATCAGTTGCATTTCTATACTCTAATAACGAACTAACAGAAAGAGAACTCAAGAATACAATACCATTTACAATCACAAGAAAAAGAATAAAATTTCTAGGAATGAATTTAACCAAGGAGGGGAAACACCTATACAATGAAAACTATAATACATTGTTAAAAGAAATTGATGATGACATCAAGTAATGGAAAGATATTTCATGCACATGGATTGGAAGAATAAACATAGTTAAAATGTATACTACCTGAAGCAGTCTACAGATTCAATGAAATCCCAATCAGAATCCTAATGAGCTTTATCAAGGAAATAGAACAAAGAATCCTAAAATTCCTACGGGGCAACAAAAGACCCTGAATAGCTAAAGCAGTCCTGAAAAAAAAGAACATAGCTGGAGGCATCGCAATCCCTGATTTCAGAATATACTACAAAGTGATAGTAATGAAAACAGCATGGTACTGGTACAAAAACAGACACACAGATCAGTGGAACAGAATTGAAAGCCCAGAACCAAAACCACACATCTACGGACAGCTAATCTTTGACAAAGGAGCTGAGAACATGCAATGGAGAAAGGAAAGTCTCTTCAATAAATGGTGCTGGGAAAACTGGACGGCCACATGCAACAGAATGAAAGTAGACCGTTATCTCTCACCATACACAAAAATTAACTCAAAATGGTTTAAAAACTTGAGGTAAGACATGAAACCATAAAACTCCTAGAAGAAAATATAGGCAGTGCACTCTTTGACATTGGTCTTAGAAGGATCTTTTCTAATACCATGTTTACTCAGGCAAGGGAAACAAAAGAAAAAATAAACAAATGGGACTTCATCAGACTAAAGAGCTTCTGCAAGGCAAAGGAAACCAGGAATAAAATGAAAAGACAACCCACCAACTGGGAGAAAATATTTGCAAATCATATATCTGACAAGGGGTTAATCTCCAAAATATATAAAGAACTCACACAGCCTGAGAAAAACAAACAACCTGATCAAAAAATGGGCAGAGGATATGAACAGACGTTTTTCCCAAGAAGATATAGAGACAGCCAACAGACACATGGAAAGATGTTCAACGTCACTAGTCATCAGAGAAATGCAAATCAAAATTAGAATGAGGGGGCTGGCCCCGTGGTGTAGCGGTTAAGTGCGCACACTCCGCTGCTGGCGGCCCAGGTTCGGATCCCAGGCGTGCACCGATGCACTGCTTGTCAGGCCATGCTGTGGCAGTGTCCCACATAAAGTGGAGGAAGATGGGCATGGATGTTAGCCCAGGGCCAGTATTGCTCAGCAAAAAAAACAAACAAACAAAAAAAAAAAAACGAGGAGGATTGGCATGGATGTTAGCTCAGGGCTGATCTTCCTTACCAAAAAAAAAAAAAAACTAGAATGAGATATCGCCTTACACCTCTTAGAATGGCTACAATCAACAAGCCAAAAAATAACAAATTTTGGAGAGGATGTGGAGAAAAGGGAACCCTCATACACTGTTGGTGGGAACGCGAACTGGTGCAGCCACTATGGAAAACAGTATGGAGATTTCTTAAAAAATTAAAAATAGAAACACCCTATGATCCAGCTATCCCACTACTGGGTATTTATCCAAAGAACTTGAAATCAACAATTCAAAAAGACTTATGCACCCCTGTGTTCATTGCAGCATTATTCACAATAGCCAAGACATGGAAGCAACCCAAGTGCTCAACAACTGATGAATGGATAAAGAAGATGTGGTATATATATACAATGGAATACTACTCAGTCACAGAAAGACAAAATTGTCCCATTTGCAACAACATGGATGGACCTTGAGGGTATTGTGTTAAGTGAAATAAGCCAGATAGAGAAAGACAAACACTGTGTAATTTCACTCATGTGGAAGATAAACTAACACACAGACAAAGGGAAGAGATTAGTGGTTTCAGAGGGGAATAGGGTTGGGGGTGGGCATAAGGGGTAAAGGGGCACATATATATAGTGACTGATAAATAATAATGTACAACTGAATTTTCACAGTTGTAAACTATTATGACCTCAATAAAAAAAAAAAGGCTGCTGTGCCCCGTTGGCCCAGTGGTTAAAGTTTGGCATGCTCCACTTTGGCGGCCAAGGTTTGATTTCTTGGTGTGGAACCACACCACTCGTCTGTCATTTGCCATGCTGTGGCAGTGGCTCACATAAAAAAAAGAGGAACATTGGTAACAGATGTTAGCTCAGGGCAAATCTTCCTGAGGGAAAAAAAATGGCTGCTGTGTGGAGGATGGGTTGTGGCTGGGAGATCAGGCAAGAGCTGATGGTGGCAGGGACCAGGGCAGTGCAGTGGGAATGGAGAGTCAGGAGTGGTTGGGAGGTAGAATGACTAGGACTGGTGGTGGTGGTGACTCCTCCCTCATGCTGGCCTGGGTGATTGGGTGGACTGTGGTATCAGTCACAGTCACAGAGATGGGAACCCAGAAAGAGGAGTGGCTTTAGGGGGCAAAGATGAGGAGTTTGGCTGAGTTCAGGTGTAGCCTCTTGGGGCCTCATCCCAGAGGCCCCCATC